TCTTGAGTGGAGAGTTTAAGCCATTCACATTTATTGAGAGAACTGATACGTGAGGTGGATTACTGTTCATTCTGTTGGGTTGGATGTTGTTGCTTTGATTTCTCTCTTGATCCATTGTAATATCTGGCCTTTAATCTTTGGGTTTTGGTTGTTTTTATATTCATGAGTTTTTATTATGATGTTCCATGCATAACACTGTTTTGAGTACTTCTTGTAGGCCTGGTCTTTTCTTGGTGAATTCTCTGAGATTTTGCTTATCTGAGAATGTCTTAATTTCTCATTAATATATAAAGGTTAGTTTTGCAGTGTACAAGAATCTAGGCTGAGCGTTATTTTGTTTCAAAAGAATGAGAATGGGGCCCCAGTCTCTCCTTGCTTGTAGTGTCTCAGTTGAGAAATCCGGTGTTATTCAGGTCAGTTTTCCTTTGTATGTTACTTGTTTCTTTTGCCTTAAAGCTTTTAGGAGGGTCTCTTTTGTTGATATTTTGGTCAGTCTGATGACTACATGCCGTGGTTTTCCTGTTTGCATTGTATCTCCTAGGAGTCCTTGGGCTCTTGAATTTCTAATTCTATGTTACTAGTTAGACCTGGGAAGTTTTCCTCAATTATTTCTTCAAATAGCTTATCCAACCCTTGGGTTTTTTCTTCTTCCTTCTCTGGAATCCAGTGGACCCACATGTTATTTTTCTTCGTGTAATCCCACAATTCTTGTAAGCTTTGCTCATGTCTCTTATTTTTCTGCTGTAACTCTGTGATTAACTTATTTGATTTGAATGAGTTGTATTCAATCTCTGAGATTCTTTCTTCTGTTTGGTCCACCCTATTTTTTAGGCTTTCCACTGTGATTTGAATTTCTCTGAATAAATTCTTCATTTCCAGGATATTGGATTGATTCTTCTTCAAGATCTTGATTTCCTTAGTGAATCTTTGTTCCAAGTCCTGTATCTTCTATGTAGTTTCCTTGTGTTGGTTATCCATTTTTTCTTGCATATCATTGAGCTTTCTTACAATCCAATTTTGGAATTCTTCTTCTGTCATTTTAGTGTTTTGGGTTTGCTCAGTCTCTATTTCTTGAGAGATGGTATATCTCCTAGGGGGAGTGTTTTTGGTTTGGTTTTTAGTACCAGAGATTTTATGCTGGCTTCTCCCCATCTGGATCAATTGCTAGAGCTCAGGCATACCCTCTTTTGTGCAGTTAAAAGTACAGATAACTGTTACAGAAAGTAAAGAAATTGAGATGGAATTCATAGTCAAGAGTCAGGACAAACTTTATTTATGACAGGATTTCGTTGTTTTTGGCAGATCAATTTATTATCTGCATAACATTCTTCAAAAGAAACGCCTGTTTTTGAGATGTAAGCACAGCTGTTTTCTTCAGCATCACCTTTAATATTTAATCTGTAGAGCAAAAAAATAAAGCTTCTCAGTGTTTAGTGCCTTCTAATAATCATCCACATTTAGCCATATTTCCTAGGTCTTTCAGGAAATAGGGGAAGACTTAGTTAGTAAACATTGTAAGTACACAGCCATAAATATAAAGGTAAGCATTTTTAAGATAAAGCTAATATAAACCTCCAAAACTTTCAACTCATCTTCACTGGAAAAGAATCCTTTTACCAAGAAACTTCATAGTTATGTTAAAACAAAGAAGCTTTGGAAACTGGGAATCAAATCTCCTTACTTTACTACTTTAATGTTAATAGTTCCCTAACTTCACCAAATGTAGGGTAGAACCACCTAACATTTGGGGAAGGCATTAAGATGATCCATATGAAAGTGTTGCAATGCTTAAACGAAGCATGTGCTCATGTGATAAGTATATTGAGGTGTGGTGGATACACTGCAGGCGTCCTCAAACTACAGCCCAAAGGCCACATGCCTAGGACATTTATCTGGCCTGCCAGGTGTTTTTGCAGCCATTGCCTCTCCTGCTTAGCAGCCGACTCTTCCCGGGCCCACAGTGTACACTCTCTAATGGTCTGAGAGACAGTGAACTGGCCCCTTGTTTAAAAAGTTTGAGGACCCCTGATACACAGGGTCTGTAGAATTTAGAAGCAGTGAGAAAAAGAGGCTCAGTTCCTGGGATACGCAGTCAGAGCCCCGTTTATCCTCATTCTAAACAGATGTCAGTGGGTGTCTGCTTCAACTTGTTTCAAACAAGCATGACTCCTGTGGTTAACTGCAGGTGGAAGTAGAGCTAGAATTCAATGATGGATGGGCAGTATTAGGGTTGGGATGCAAGGATAGGGTGAGTTCAACACTCACCTAATAGTCTCAAAAAGAAGATGAGCTGGTGACAGTGGGCAGGGCTCCATCACAGCCTTTCTTTTTCCCTTTCTTTTATTTTTTCATGAAGCTCCTTGCACTTGAGCTGCTAGTCTGATTTCCTCCTACTGTCCAATATTCTAGTTAAACTGTCAACTTCTTTCAGCTGGGCTATTGTAAAACTTCCCTACATTTTATCTCTTCCACTCTTCTAATTTTTTCTTCAATTTTCAGGCTAATTTTTTTAATGTCAATCTGATCAAATCAATGACTGCCTTTCTATAAGGCCCTCAATGGCTTCCCTGACCTTCCTTGATGATATAGCTGACCAGTTCTCTAACATTATATCCTTTAATCCTCAAAAAGTCCTGTAAAACACATTCCCCCCAATTTTTTTCCTAAAAACTGGGGCTCAGAGAGTTCAAATAAAAGCAGGATTTAACTGGTGTTCTTTTCACTGTAACATACCTTCCAGGTTTATCTGATTACTACTGTCTTAAGCATCATTTTTCTCTTCAGAATAAAATTGGCAGTTGAACTAAATTTAATCCATCCACTTTACACATATTTCTCATAGACACTTCAATGTTTTCCAATTTTATTTTTACTATAAACCACAATAAAATAAATAGTTTACATCATGGCCAAATTGAGAAACATACACTTACTATATATAATAAACAAATTAACTCTTACTATGTATAAAAAGATAAAAGTTAATACCAAATAGATTTTTATTTATTTATAAGTAAAATATAGAAAATAATCTCCAGAAAGTATTATAGAAAATCAGTAGTGATGTTATTAAACAAAATGGCTGTTTGCTTTTTCATAAATTAATTCTGTCCAAAACACTTATTTTTTACATAATCTTCATTTTAAATTCTCACACTTAAAAATATTTTAAAATATGGCTCAAATAATGTAAAAAATTTCTAATTAAGCCAACATTTCTTTCAGTGTTTAATACTTTTCCATACTTAATAAATTATCCCTATATTTTAGATAAAATTGAACATGCTCTTATGTTTTAAATTTCAACCTTTTGTTCTCTTGTTTTTGAATGATAAAATATACATTTAAGTGTAAATTATGCAAATTTGATTAAATCATTCACAGACTTATTAAATGCAACTCTTACTATCATCTTTTTTGAAAAACTCATTGAAATTTCTCAACAGAAATTAATTGAATGCCTGCACACTTTGGCTTGCAAGGGGAAATAAAACCCTGTCCTTTATTATACATTAACTATGAAATTTGCTAAAATATGACATTTAATTATATAGCATCAAGCCTGTTCTTACAGTTATAGTTATCTGGACCATATTACACAAGAAATAATAGTGAAACACTAAAGAGAAAACAGCAAACAGCTTTTTTGAGGCTTATCCATGTATTCATCACAGCCCCTCAAAAATGTCTCTTTTACACCACGGTTAAAATACACTGCAACATTTGTCTTAAAGTGGGTAGAGCCTCTCAGTGTTTGAGTTCCACATTCTGATATTTATAATTATTTACTTTTATAGTCATCCTTTCAATTTTTTAAAGTGGTTTCATGGTTCACTGAGATATATTTTCCCAGTTTGTAAAACACTACTTAAAAAATTCTGCATGCCAATGCCCTCTAGCTAGACATTTTTTAAAAATTTCACATGCCCTCCCCGAAGGAGTTGGTTTATTCCTTGTCATCTAAAACTCCACTGCAGATAAAAATATATATTCTTATAAAGGGCTGATGTCTTTTCATACATGGAACTGTTCTACCAACTCCAGAATCATCCGTCTTCCCAGCCTATTCTGAACCTCTTGAGAGTTTCTAAACCAAATTAAAACTACAAAACTCAATCTTCAACAATGTTACCACCTTATACTGTAAATGTGATGTGAATTAAATATTAAAATTAGCCTCATCTAATACTCACATAGCAGAATTTAAAAAAGAGCCATTTATCCACTTCCAATTCTTCTCTGATAATGTAAAATTTAATCCAATCCAAAAGTTAATTGCTGTATCCTTTATCAGTTCCTGTATGAGTTTCTATAAATGGGACAAAAGAAATGACAGAATATTGAATCTGCTTATCTATTCATGTTTTGTATTCTTCTCCTCATCCCCTGAAACCTAGTTCAAGCATCACCCCCTCGCTGAAGTCTTTCCTGATGACTCATCAGAGTTGTCGCTTCTCTGTAATTATATAGAATGATATTTCTTTTTACATGTTTTTATTTATTTTGCTTTATTCATCACCTTCTATTCAATTATTTGTTTACATGTCTGTTTAATCTCTCAAATTGTGAGCATCTTGAATTGTTAAGTCCTCACTTCCATTGCCTAAAAGCTTTGGGCTAAAGCCCAGAGATCTCAATATGCTTTAAAGGGAGTGCTAAGTTTTACTAAGGTATTTATTTAAGGATTTACCAATTCTTCCTGATCTTGAATAAGAAGCAAACTGGATTCTTTTGTGGAACAGTAGGATAGACTGTCATTCCAAAAGTTGGTATCTTGAGACAAAAACAAGCATTTCTTTTGGAGTGGTAGCCAAAGTGCCAGGCACTCTGACAGTTGTGCGCTCTCTAAAATAAGAAACCAAAAGAAGAAATAAATGTGTTATATTTCTAACCTGTCCCCCCACACCACACAATAACACACACACATCATTATAAATGCTTAGAAGTCTTTGATTATCCCTGTGAGAATGATGGATTTATTATAATTATGAGACCTAACGTTTATTCTGGTACCAAGAATTGGGAATTAGTGGCCAGTTATACTGAGCATAAATTGAATCACAGAATATTAAAATAGGAAGATGCCATCAGAATAATTTAAACAGACATATCTTACATTTTAAGACACTGAGAAACAGAATAACTTGTTCAAATCCACCCAATGGATTTGATGGATGGTAGAGTCAAGACTATTTCTCAGCCAAAGATTTTAAAAACAGCCACCAGAAAGACACTGGGGATGAATCATGAAATAAGAAATTTGCCACAAAATAAAAAAATAAAAAACTAAAAAAGACTATTTCTCAGTTTCCTTAAATTCACCACCAGCACTTATTCTACTACATAGACAGCAGCATCAAACTTATATAAAAAATGCTGACTTTAAACAACATGCAAAATGCAAAGCAAATAATAATTCTTTTCACTAAATTAATAAGTACTACAAATAAAAAAATCACAAGAAAATTTGCAATTGCCGAATGACATATTTGCTCATTTAATACAATTTATTGGATAGCATTTTCCAGACAGATGTTCCAAGCTTCTTAAAGTTTCTGTTCTGTGAGAATGTGCAAACAGATCATATTCTGCTACAGTTACTCAACAATATCATCATTTTTAGGGGGGGTGGAGAAGAAGGAGGAGGAAGGTGGAAGGAGACCCCGGGTGGGTGGAGGGTGGGCTCGCTGGAGAGGGCACCAATAGTCGTCTTTATACACACACACTGGAACAAGATTAATGTTGCTACATATTGAGGAAATATGATAAATAGGAAAGAATTCATTCTATGTTTTGAGTTCTATTAATTAATTTCAGACCAAACGTAACTGTTTGACACATTCATTAAAATAATCAAATATTTCACTTAAAAGTATATTTTACATTTAACTCGATGTTTGCCTATTTATGATCAAATATCCCAGCAGAGGCTTCTCATGAGGCAGCACGCCCTGGTGGTTAAGATCTTAGGCTCTGAAGTCAGACCACCCAAGTACAATTCCTGGTGTCACCACTTACCGTTTGTGTGACCCTCAACAAGTTGCTTAACCTTTTTGTGCCTCAGTTTTCTCAAACATAAAAGTACGGTGATAATGGTATTTAAACATACAGTTTGTTGTGAACTTTAACTAAGGTCATGCATGATATTTATCAAATATTAACTATTTTTCTTAGGAAATTCAAGCCACAAAATTACCTGTTGTTTCATTCCTGTTCTGCTGAACATCCACGCTGCTTTTCTCTATTGGTGATTTTTGTAGTAAGGATATCACTATAAATAAGGAAACACCACCATTAAGAAGATTAAATGCTGAAATGTGTGGCAGAGTGGACAGGTTATATTTATCAGTTTAGGAAACTAAGCTGTCTCAACAAGCTAGACTGAGGACAAAAGATAAAGGATAGCAACGTGGTAACAAAGGTTCTAGTTAAGAGGCAACTGACATAAATAAGAAAAAAATTAACAAGTAGACTCACACAGATATTAGCTTACTTATTATCTAGTAGATAAATCAACCTAAAGGCATTGCTTAAACTTTTAAATTGCTTACACTCTTGTCTGAACTCTCTGATCTTCAGCACGAATGTATTTATGCCTATCCCAGCAGGGAGATGGTCTACTGCAATAGGGAATTTAGTAGGTACTTAATAATCTGTAAATAACTGGAATTTTTACTTTTTTTGTTATTGTCAATTGTTTTCACAATAGTGATCTTTTTTAAAGTTCTTAGAGGACATATATAGTAAGTACACCATGATGACTTTCAGAGCAATTAGGAAGATAAATGTGAAAGACTGAAGTTTTCAATGTATAAGCTGACTGTCAGAAACAATGCTTTCTAACTTTTTATTTAATTGGTCTTTCACTAAGTTTGGGGTGGCCAAATTGTATTAAGATTTTCTGATGTTTATGATGAGTAAATATTGTGAAGCAAATGATCTTGCCTTACTTACCTGAAACAGTCAACCCGATCACAGCTAAGACAAGAAGAGTAACTCCAGCACAGCCAAGTTTCAGAGCAAATTGATGCCAACGTGGACCCTGACAAAGGTCTGAGATGTTAAAAAAAATTACTCAATGAACTCAGCTGAGTACATCTGGTACAAAAATCAAAGTCAGTTTGGATAACAGTAAGACAATGAGATTCAGCTTACAGGTTGCAGGTAGGAAAGAACCTTTATCAGAAATCTTAAAAGTAGAGTCCCACAACACAGGTCTTCAGACACAGCTGAGAGTCTGCTCATTGGTGAAATAGGAATATTTACGTATATCTTATATACAAAGGATAAAAATCAAATGAGCTAGATGGGAAGATGTTTTGAAAATTGCCAAGTGATATACAAAAATGAAGTGCATGCCCTATTGCAGGAAGTAAGTTAAAACATTTTATCTAAGAAGGAAGATCTTCATTTATTCAAGATACTTTATGTCTCTATTTTGTGCCAAGCACCATGATAGTTACTGGTGATATAAAACATTTCTATTTTCTATTCTTTAACACAGAATACTCTGCTTTATTGTTATCTAAAATAATCATCTCCAATTGAATCAAATGTATGGCATTCAAGGAAGAATATTTTGTGAGTGCATTTATTTTCAGTATTAAACTAGTAAAATATAACATGCACTTATCTCTGCAACATTGCATAGTCTAAACAAAATGTCAGCTATCTTTGCTTTTCTCTGTAATCATAGTAATTACTATATTATGTACATATCATGGTCATCAGAAGTTATGATTATTTTGATTAATGAAATGTTATAAATTAATCACAGCTATATATTTTGCTTTATAACATGAATTTCATAGGGAAAACAATAAAAGGATTTATTTATGAAAATATTCTTTAGAAACACTGGGTTTTAGCTATCAAAATTAAATAAGTTCTGGCAGGAAATTACTCTGGTTTGATATGTCTCAATTACATTGCTTGAAGTTATGTGTAGACAGCTCCTATATTTCTGATTTAATTATAAGACCTCTTTTGTTCCCATTTTGTTTATAACAGATATATGACAATTATAAATTATATTCTAAAATGGATTATTGGAGCCAAGGGCATTCATAAGTAAAGTTTTTCTAATTTATCTGAAGCTATTGATTTATTTATATTATCTATCCTTTTAAAAATATTTTCTAATATTTCTCAACATAAATGATTACAATACTGTCTTTTATTTTCATTATATTTTCCAGAATGGTCTATATAGCCATTTCTACTTTTTTTGGTGCACATTACATTTGAGAATTAAGTTGTGCAAGTCAGTTCACAGATTTAATAGTCTCTAGCATTAGGATGCTGACATTCATATAAGTGAGTCCTCTCTCCCTGAAATGTTGATGAGAAGATATAATTTAGTATAGCTAAATATCATAAAAGATTGTGGGAAGAATATTACATTAGAGTCAAGGTAGTGACATGTGGATGATTATCAGATATTATTGAGGGCATGTATCAATTGGGTGGGGAGATAGGAGTAGACATCTAGAGGAAACTACAAAGTCCCATGGATGCATCTGGAAATGAGGAAACCAAGCTTGGCAATATGGGTTCAAAACTTCTAATGAGAGCTAGTGTGACATAAGAGTGGCTACACCCAGTCAATGAGCCTAGTACAACACTAGGATGTCTTTCCTTTCAGTTTTATTAATACATACATTATTTCACCATTTTATCTCTTTTCTTCTTCACCCTTTCCTTCCTTAAAACTCCAAGTTTGTTTGCAAAATAAGGAAAGCTCCATATAGTCACTATTTTAATTTCATAGTAATTTTATTACTGGGACAGCAGAAGGGTAGATGAGAAAAACCACCAGCCAGAGTGTCTCTGCAGAAAAGACAGATTTTAGAAGAAGATAGAAGAAATAAGCAAGCAGACAAACATACTTGGGACAAGGGTTGGAAGGAGGGGTACCTGACACTATGGGAGATTCCATGGGAGGTCGCAGAGGAGAACTGGAAGAAGAGAGCTCCCAAGAAGCTTGGAGACCAGCGACAAGGGTAGGAGAAGCAGCTAACTTTCCCCTCCCTCACATCTTGGACTGCTGGTGGGCTCCCCAGCAGTTGGAGAGACCTGCGGACACCAGCCCAGAGATGGCCACTGCCAGGGAGCGGTAAGCCTGATGGACAGGTGGCACCAGGCTCCCAACTCCCTCAGGGCACCACCCTGTGCACAGACCTGAGTTGCTCGGCAGGCACCATATTGCTCCATTCTCCCCTCACCCTCCCTATCTGCGGCTGCCAAGAGAGACAATATAGGCACCAGCTGGAGGCATCTCCAGGAAATAGGACCTTCTTCTTGGGGGGCCTACAGCTGACTGAGGAGTACTTAGATGGTGAGCACCCTACCCACCAGCCCTCCCAGGTGCTGCTGGCTTGATGACTCCAGGAGAACAGGGCAGATCCTGAGGCTGAGAGACAATGACCCAGTTTGGGCTCCCCATGGGAGAATTAGGACTGGCACTCATGCCAAGGTGAGGTCAGGGATTAAATTCTGGGGCCCAGAGGTCAGACCTACAGACCAGATTCCATGCACCCAGGTCTCATATTGCCCCAGGGCAAAGAAGGGATGTCCTTGAACAATCCTACTAACATGTGTGTGCCTTCAGGGGCACATCAGTGTGCTTGTGGGCAACCCTTCTCCCAAGGTGGGGGTCCATGTCCCCAGCCCAGGCTGCAATCCTGCGCAGGGAACCTCCTGGCCTGCATCATAACCAGGGGATACTTGCTGGCATCAAGTCTGTCTGCCTGGCAGAAGCCCAGGAGAAGCCATGGAGTTGGGGAGGATGGAAATGATTGAGGCCTGCTCCAAACTGCAGGTCTCAAACAGCCCCACCCCCACACGCAGACTTTCTGACTGAGTGGGGACATTACAGCCCTCCATAACAGCTTTGCCCAGAAACAGAGAACAGAACATTGACCCCTGATAACAGCATTTGTGGTGCTTGAGGGCAGGATTACGCAACCCAGCTATGCCCAGACTCAATCCCAGATCAACCCTCACTGAGGTGGAGAATAAGCACACACGTGGAAGTCCCAGAGCCCCACCCACCACCTGACGCACTAGAGTGCCTCTCCAGAAGAACAAGAACTGGTTACAGGACACAAAAATAACACTGTAGCCTCGTCCTCCTAGCAAGTGCCACCTACTGAGAGGGAGGTCATTGTGCACACCCTATTATGGCATCTACTGATTCATCATACAGGGTGTGGTCAAATGTCACATACAAACACCACCTACTGGCTCAGAGACTAAACAAGACTCAGGACTAAACAGGGAATGTCATATCCAAGCAAATACCTAAAGGTAAGAAGAAAAACTGATCCAGTTGAGAAAAAATCAACAAAAGAACTTGGGAAGTAAGAAGACTCAAATGGAAAGCACACCTCCAAAGAGGAACACCAGCCCCTTAGAAATGAACATCAACCAAAATCAGACCACCAAAATGACAGAAGAAGAATTTTGAGCATGGGTCATAAGAAAATTCAATGACTTGCAAGAAAAAAAGAGATAACCAACACAAAGAAACCACAAAAAAAAATCTAGGACCTAAAATAAAAATTCACTAAAGAAATTGAAATAATAAAGAAAAATCAAACCGAATTTTTGGAAATGAAGAATCTATTCAGGGAACCACAAAACACAGTGGAAAGCCTCAAGAACAGGGTCGATCAAACAGAAGAAAGAATCTCAGAGATTGAAGATAACACCTTCCAATTAAATAAGTCAGTCATAGAGATAGAACAGAGAAATAAAAGTGTACAAGAAATGTGGGATTATGAGAAGAAACCTAATGTGAGGGTTATAGGGACTCCAGAATGGAAAGAAGAAAACACACAAGGGTTGGATAAGCTGTTTGAAGATATAATAGAGGAAAATTTCCCAGGCCTTCCTAAAAATCTAGATATCCAAGTACAAGAATTCAAAGGATCCCTGGGAGATTCAATGCAATCAGGAAGACACCACAACATGTGGTCATCAGACTGACCAAAATATCAACTAAAGAGGCCCTTCTACTAGCTGTAAGGCAAAATAAGCAAGAAACATACAAAGGAAAGCCAATCCGAATAACATCAAACTTCTCTTCTGACCTTACAAGCAAGGAGATACTAGGGCCCAATTCTCACTGTTTTGAAACAGAGAAATGCCCAGCCTAGAATCTTGTTCCCTGAAAAACTACATTTTGTATACAAAGGAGAAATAAAGACATTCTCCGATAAGCAAAGACTGAGGGCATTCACCAAGAGAAGACCAGCCCTAAAAGAAGTACTCAAAACAGTGCTACCCACGGATCAGCACAATAAACATTCATGAAAGTAAATCTACTCAAAGCTAAAGATCAAAGGCCAGATACCACAATGGCTCAAGAGAGAACACAAAGCAAAAAGGTTCAACCCAAAAGGATGAACAGAAGTTTGCCCCACCTATCAGTTATCTCAAAATGTAAATGGCTTGAACCCCCCACTTAAGAGACATAGGCTAGCCAATGGATTAAAAAAGACAAGCCAAGTATCTGCTGCCTTCAGGAAACACATCTAACCTGCAAGGATGCAGGGGGAGAAGAGGGAGTGAGCACGATCTTCTGCAGATCCTCCCCAGGAGTCCGCAGTGGCCCAAGCTCTGCTGGTGACACACAGAAAAGGGATAGTTTTCACCTCTCAGCGGAGCTTCTCAGTGGTCCCCGGCAGCTCAAGAGCCATTAATGAGGGGACAGAAGAGGGAAGGAGCTCACCCCTTGCTGAAGCATCCTGGCTGATCCCAAATTCTCAAGTCCCACCAGGGAGGGAAGAGAGAGAGAGATTGCTCCCCAGGTGGTGTCCTCTGGTGAGGTCAGGCAGTTCCCCATCCCACCCAACTGCCTCTGCTTTGCTCCTAATGAACAGAACCCACCCTAACCAGGTGGAAATGGGAAAGAGAGTGATTTTCCAACTCTGACTCGGGACAATTGTACCCCCAGCATGTTCTGGGGTATTGAGATAGGTGCTTCTCTCCAATACTACAGACTCCACCCCTGGGTGGAGTAGTGAAACAAGCCATTATTCAAACTGAAA